ATCACATGCGTAAAATAATGAGTTTTATCGGTATCTTCCCCTAGGAGGACTATATTATTTGCACTTTCTAAGACAACAAGACTATTGCCTGATTTAGCGATTGCAGGCAGGGTTTAAAAGCACGATATATACGGGGTGCCATGGATTTCACCTGACGGACACACCAAAAACCAGATAGACTTTATATTAATCTCAAGAAAGTGGAGAGGTAGTCCTAATGGACACAAGATCAAGATGAGGAGTAGCCATACTTTCAAATCAATACCTTGTGTAAGAAAGCCTCCAAAGGAGCTGAACATAGACCACAATTCAATCTCAATACTCAGAAACTGAGGGGTGAGGCTACAAAAGTCACCCCCAAAACAGTCATCAGAAAAGAAATGGTAGCATCAAAAAAAACTGCGTGAAAGAACAGTATGACTCTTAGGAAGCAATATAAAAGGAAACCTCTATAGACACATTTTAGCCTAGAAAGAGGAGGCAAGACAAGGAATGACTCCCTACGGGTGCTTGGAGGATGATAGAAGAGGGGGATGGTGAGGCAGGTGATAAACAACTGTAGAGTGGGAAAGTAAAACCTACAGAGCACTGAAGAAAAGTGCTCGGAGAGAAAAAAGACAGTTTTACGATGCACTAACAACTGAAGCCCAACAGACCACAGGTAAGAAAAGCCTCAGAACATTATAACGGATCACCAGGTCGCAATTCGAGAGGTAATTGACACAGATGAAGCCAATGAAAGGTACTGAAAGGAACCCGAAGAGGTGGAACAGAAGAAATGCTGGACTGGTCAATTCAGATGACTTTTGAATTGACCACCATCAGCAAGCCACTCAGAAATACCACCAGCAGACACAGAGCTGCTAGTGAACACTACCCTCCAACGAAAAACCTTAAAAACCATAAAGCTACTGAAAACCGAAAAAGCAGCAGGATAGATGGAAGTCGCCTTTCACTTACCTGAAGAGCATTGTTCCAACTACAGGAGGCAAAGGCGAGGATGTCAACGCCAGACAGGATCGGTAAGGAAAGTAAAGCGGGTTAGGCGTTCATCACGCTGAAATCAGTGTGGAGCTCTACACAGCAGTCGTTCAGCACAAGGAACAAGATTCGACTTCAATATGGTACAGAGACTTGATGAGTCACTAAAAACATTTCCAAAAGGTTGAAAACCATCATAAATATCTGCCTTCATTAGATACTGAGGACCACATACATAACTGGAAATGATAAGCGACGAGGAACTATGCCAGCGTTGAACCAAGAACCTGTAACCCAACATATATATTCATAAGAGAACTGAGGTGGGTTGGATATATGCCGAGAAGACTGCTGAGCAAAATCGTATACTAAGCTTACTAGTGAAACCCGAATGGGAAGTACCGAGTTGGGTGTTAGAAGATGAGATGGCGACCATGTGAAGAGGAAATGAAAGCTTGTGGGTGATTGTGGAACCAGCTAAAAATGATGGCAGTTAACGGACTGTGATGGACATGTGCTACTGAAGCCCTACACTGCACTCGGAAAGAGTTAATAATAGTATAAGATTGTGACAGTAACAAAATGCAATCTTCTGAATATCTTGAGTAGGAGTCTCGGTATGTGTGGTATATGATTCGCCCTTGTCGAATGCGAGATGATGCTGCAGGACTGGTGTGCATCGCCTTATAGTTTGAAGACACAGTATGAAGTTGTACATCAGACACAATGGACGCATGACATCCCTGACCTAGGCAGGATATCCCACTATCTATTAAAGGACGTATTTACTGCGCATCAGTCACCTAGTTCTGTGAGACGTGGTCGTTGAAAGTCGAAAGCGTAATAAGGTCATATGAGTCAGCATTCTATCTCTTGTGTTAGGTTGTATTGTACGGGTAATATTGAGATTAGACGTAGTGCTAGGCAAGGACGGGAAATCAGTCGATGAAGTTTTGAAGCTACATCATTTGGGATGTGTTCTGCCCCGGTGGCACAGCGGTAGAATGCTTGCCAACCACACAGGTGGTTCGGGGTTCGATACCCAGCTGACGCACTCTTTTACCCCGCCAAGCCAGTAATAAGACTGGTAAAGAGGGAAAGTTGGGCGTGAGGCTAGCAACCTCATCCCGCAAAAATAAACACCACTGCTACCGAAAATTCAAAGCTCTAGCTTGAAGTCCCATGATTCACTGGGAGCATAAAGGAACAGAAAAAGAGTATGTGTTTTACATTCTTGACCATTTGTCCTCCTCAGCTGGTATTATTACCTGATATACGATAAGGTTGGAAAAGTGCTAGGGGTGGTTAAAAAGGCGTAGACCGTCTCTGATTAGTCTTCTGGGAATGTTGAGTCAGTGGCTACAGACAGTCAGTGAGATGGATCGGAAAGGGTTTTCAATGACGTCCACTTTTTATGAACCGCCAAGTTACTATTCACCATGTAATTTTCCCTGCTGCAAATTCCAGCTTACTGTGGTTCCTCTGGAAATTTCTTATTCTACCTTTATGTGCTTTATGAACTGTGGCAATTTAATTTGTTGCACTTTTGTGCAAAATTCTACCGCGAAAACTCAGTCTCAGTCAATCAGATCAAGATGCGCCATTAAATTCATAAGCTCCATTGTAATCGCTTCTGGGATATCAACGCTGATTTCAGTTGCGTCGTAGACCTTAACCAGCAGGCCCAAATTTCATTTACAAGGTTCGAATTAATCAGTTATTAAAGGATTAGTGTTGTGTATCAATGTGACTAACCCAAACTTTACATGAACCAAATTCTACTTCACATGACATGAACATTAAGGTAGGTGGCGGATCGACATCCAGAACACATCCAGCCACCACAGGCTAACAGTGTTCACCTGGAACTTTACAACTTGTCCTCTATTCTGCAAACTTAAATTCACAACATGAGAAATCCTAAGGCAATGGTCGTCAAACACCTGAAGCCTTAGAAAATCATTAGAGTGTAATAACTACGTTTCAAAACGATGCACATGACTCGTTAAATGAGACAGACAGTGTGCCAACTCTCCCTGCTGCTGTGCGGAATACTGGTGCAAATTAATTGTGAAGCATCTTGTCCGAATCTTTACATAACTGAGAAATATTACGTGACATTAGATGTAGTCGTTATATGGTATACTGTGATGCGAAAATGGATGTTCCAGTAAGGTAACTTATGCATCACGTACTTCTTTCAACAGAAGATACTACTACTACCACAAGACCTTTCAATCGACAAAGGAAAATATCATCCTAACGTCAAGAATTGCTGTAGAGATTTGTTTCAGAATCCTGCAATGAGAATCAGATCTCTATACAGCCGGTTTTCTTCGGCTTTGTTTATTTGTGCCTATTAGAAGCACTAATAATAAATGTACTCATTACGGTCCCGACCGAAAGCTGCTACCTTGACGTGGTGGTCGGGCTTGAACACCGCAACGACCCAACAAGCTATACTGGCTAGAACTTATGTTCCTGTAGGTCCTACCATGCCAGAAAGGTTGTTTGGATAGCGGTTAGACAAAAAGCAGTTACCCAATCCAATCCTATGACTCCAAATAAATCACAAAATATCATGCCAGATCGGTCGGGGCCCGGATTAACAACGACCGCGCTTCCTGCTGCCGTGTTACAGGGCAGAAGTGATAAATGTGCTACTGAGACACACCAAATGAAAAACAACAAACAAAAACAGGCCGTGTGTGACCGGCCTCAAGCAGTTGTCCCCTGGGCTCTGCGGTCACGCAACCAACTTCCAAGGTGTGGGCAGCCGGGAAGTAACAATCGCCCCCACAATCCGAAGTGCACGCGAAACCTCTCTAATCCTCACTCATCTTTGTCTTCATCTTCATCTCTATTATCTTGCCTTCCTTCTACCAATGCAACTCCTCTACTTAATGGCTCTTCAGCCACTCATTACGGTTATACAGGTCAATCTGTAAACCGTAATGGCTCAGTGGTAACGTCCCAGGCTGCAGTACTGTGTGACGCGGGTTCGAATCTCAGGGAGGGCACCACTCCTTTTGAGGTTGCAGATATACATCTTGCTGACATAAGGCCAACATACACGAGACGTTTCGGTCCAGGACTCCCTGTTGATTGCCATGAATCATCAAACAAATACCATGAGCCAAATACACACATCATTAATACGTGTCTTCCACCTTCACAGTTACCACCATCACTAGAATCTAGCATATAATTATGACCTTTGAATTGCAAAATAATAGAAAAGACTCTCCAGATGTTGCAATGATGAAGTTATGGGATCACTACTTAGTCCAGTTGTCGCATATTTTTGTGAAAATCTTAAATAATCACGCCCCCTTTGAAAGAGGTAACCACTCGACTTAATTTCTATCAAATCCCGCGTATTAGACGACCTAATAGTTTTCGAAAATGAAACTGTTAAGCAGTGTATTCGGAATAAACTGAGTGATGTTCATCCAGTAATCATAATTTCCAAGCGAGTGAAAGTCACAGGATAGCATTCAGTGTCTAGATGTTCTACCAGTGAAATGTCAAGCTAGACTAAGAAACGGACCATAGGTTAATAAAAAATAAAAACTGATAAAGGGCTTCGGATAGCGCAAAAGAAAACAATTGTCCTGATAAAGCCTATGAGGCCAGAGATTATCACTTTGCACACAAATCCAAACAGGTTTTTGACAAATAGTGAGTGAGTGATATGCGTGTTACTAGAATGTAGGAGTGACACGAATAGTAAAATTTAGAAATAGTGGCAAAGAGTTACACAGAGAGAAAATTCTCTACCGCCAAATCACTTTCCACCCTCTGCAACAGATTAATTTCATACGCAAGATATAAAGATAGATTGTCTGGTTTTGTTTTTTTTCCATAAGAATTCACTGGTTAAACCTTCCAAACACCCACCCACCTCCGTGAAACCAGTTACATATAGCGTATAACTAGGGATATATATGTATATATATAAATTCCAAGGAGTACGCTCTATATTATTATGAAAAGACTCAATTTAGCGAGGGACTTACGGAATGGCATTAACTTCACGGGAGGCAAGACTATTCATTCCAGAACGAGCATTTGTAACACCTGGACGAATGCTGCCACGGGAACTGAAAGACAGAATATGTAATTTCTTTTAAGAATTATGTGATACATTACACATTTTGAATCTGATTTTTTTTTCACAATAAGAATATACAGTTGAAATTTCAGTCTGCGTAGTGGTGTGAAAGCCACAGGCGCAATGAATTCAGAAATATTATTATTATTGAGGACTAGAACTTGAAGGCAATGCTTACCTGATATGCTTAAGTCTGCAGGATTCAGAGCAGTACTTTTCGCCAGGAATAGCTGCCATTATACACGCAGGACCAGCACAATGTGCCATTTCAGGGAGGACAATATCATCATCAGACTCATCATCCACAAAATCGATATGCTCATCAGCACCGATAGGATAAATACCTGGTACGGCGGACCCTTTGTTACGCGGATGATGAGGTTGAGAACCTTAGGCAAAAATAAAAAAGAGTGAGCGAAATTTTATTCCACTTCATTTGAATAAAACAATCAATCAATAAAATTCTAAAGGTTTATTTATTAAATAAATAAATAAGCAATAAACGTACTACGTAACAAAGCGATTTTTGACACGAGTTGAAAACAAATATCTAGAAAGGCATAGGTCGTTTGAATTTGTATAACTGCTTAAAATGAGCTCTTTTCTGATGAAGATTATTAGTATTACTGCTAACTACAGATGATCCATTCTTACCCTTCAAAAATCTTATAGATGAATATTATTACAAGTGATTAAAATTAAACATACATAGGGGTTGAAAATCTAGTATTTCGACTAGACTGCGGTGCACATCAAATGTATGACCACCAGTTTGATGCTCAGTACTTTAAGCCGATGATCGACTGTAAAAATCATTAAGAGTTAAAGCATTTGGGTATGGATGATACTCATTAACTCCAGGTCAATATGAGTATAGTTTACAGAAAGAAAGAAAAAACAACCTCTTACATCATTATACGAATCTCTTTGGAAAAGAAAGCAGCTTAATACCTGCATTTTTCTTGATGAATAGGCATAAGGTAGAAAAGCTTGGTTGGCCTCAAAGATATTTAAATGTTTGAATATAAGTTCCAGAATGAAGCTTAACATTTTCCACACATATTAGTAGTAACTAGTGGTTTTACAACTTTCATCACTATACTAGACCTTTAAATAAGTGAGAGAATATCTCCTCTGTGATATAGGCAGTGCAAGTTGTGATAGAAGCTGACTTATTCTTTAGCATTTGTTCCAGGATTTCGCCGACCATAAAGCACCAGAGAGGATACGATATTCCAGGTAGGTTGAGTGGTTTAAACACTAACTTCTCTACTCTTTATTGTCATAAAATTTAGTTATGTGTGATTTATGAAAATAAAATCTTATCCATAATGGAGTTACACTCTACCACAGTGCCCAAGTTTTATACTTATATGAAGCAACTAGTCCAACCTGAGATGGAAAATACCTTTCGAACGTTCAGAAATTGTCTGCTATCCAATCCCACTTTAACAAAGAGTTGAAGCACAGCAGACATGAATACTGAATGCTTTAAAGACCTTGGTCGATAATGCTTAACAATTCCCTCATTAGGAAAAAACAATCACAGGAAAAACCAATTTACACGGATAAGCAGTCAGTCAATTTCATAGCCACATAGCGACTATTTATATATTAGCAACACAGTTTGCCCTTCATACACATTACGAATATAACAAATTTTCAGTAGCATATAGTGTACCTGAGTTTACATTTTAACTACTGTAACTTCCTAGTTGAGTGAAGCTCATGCACTTAAACATTTCTCATTTTGCAAGAGAGTATCATTCAAGATTATTGATATAAGTATAAAACTTGGGCACTGTGGTAGAGCATAACTCCATTATGGATAAGATTTTATTTTGATAAATCACACAGTGTTGTACAGTAATATTAACTGATGACGTTTCGAGCATTAACTATTGCTCATAATCATATCAACTTGCACGGAATAACACCAGTTCAGACTACCACACTTAGATTAAGTAAACGGAGCAATACTCTCGAGAAAACAAGTAAATATCTTCGAAATTCTAGTCATTCATTGTGAACCTCCAACAATTGATTTTTAAAAACCCAGTCACACTAATTACCCAAGCCAAACATAACGGAATTGGGGAAAAACAGCAAAGAAACCTGCTATTTCAACACTGAGAACGCATTATGAACTAGCCCATGAAAGATAATACAACCTTCAAAATATGTAAAGCGACCCAGTGCATTGGGTCATTTAACATCTTACCGTTAAATGCTAAACTTAAATAGATTGGTTCTGGAGTACCATTTTAAGTGTGACAGGTGAGAAAAATAGGTACAATTGTGCATATTTCTATCAGAACTGAATCAAACGCATGCATTAAGTCAAATATTTCTTTCTCAGACAATCAGCTTTTGAGAGACCGCAACTGAATAAATAATAATCACTTGTACACTTGTGATGAAAATAATTAAATGGAGAGTTAACAACACTAAAAATCACTTCCTGTAAGGACAAGAGATAGGGTAGAGAACATTGGTTAGCACATATCATCCTTCCTTAAGGAATTATTTCACACTGGTGCATCTTGATTAGAGGGAAGAAACGTCACCTTTAGGTCAAGAAATAAACTAAGTGTTTTGGTCCAGAAAATATCGAGAAATAAAGATGTGATTGATGAATCCCGGTCCAGAATCAAGCTTCATTCAAATACCGAATTTCTATGAACTATAGGGTCTTCAGCACCATAATACCTAAGCTGAATTTCGTTTGGTCGCCCATAAACTAGAAAGATTAGTAACGTAGGTAAATCTTATTCTCAAACACCAGCGTCCTATGAAATCTGACTAATAAATCATTATTTCTATCTCTTAACTCTTGCAGACAAACCGTCAAGTCTTGCTGTTAGTTTTCCCAACAATGGTGAGTGTTGACGGATCGATATCCATATCTTTAGCAGCTGTTATTTTGCTAAAGCGATATGCTTTGTCTTCTATTTCTCTGTAAAGACACTGATAAGAGTTCATTCTGACAAGAACTAGCTGAAATCAGTTTGCATCAATCTCTTCAAATGCGGAAGTCGGAAACTACTCGCCTCTACTAACGTTGTCATATAATAGCAGACCAAGCTTTATGAGAAGCACCATGCTGGAATAAATATTTGGTTACCTGTTGCCTAAATAGATATTCGATGCATTAAACCTCCATCCATTTAGAACTAGGCACACTGATAAACGAACTAATTCGAGTAGACACAGGTAGTTGGAAGAGAACCGCTGTCTTCTACCAATCTTGTTTAATGACAGCTTTCCGTAATATGATTTGCTGTTGACTTGATGTCGGCGGATACCATGGGAAATAATCACTTCATTTGCAGACAACAATAAGCTATCACCATAGCAAAATTTTAGGGCGATCACCATTATCGACCAGTTTGCATACAGTGTCTGAATGATGTTTCTCCCCTTAACTCAGCGTCCCGACGGATAGCTGCTACCTTGACGTGGTGGTCGGGCTTGCACATCGCAATGACCCAAAAAGCTACACTGGCTGGAACTTTTGTTCCTGCAGGTCCTACCATGCCACGAAGGTTGTTAGGATAGCGATTAGGCTAAAAGCAGTTACCGGCTTAGTGTAAGACTTTTTTTACACTACGCTTGGGGATCTTTGGGCGAAGTCGTACAGCTGGGGAACAGGGATGTAACAGCAGTGAGGTGTTTCCCTCAGATGACCAGCATGCCAGCTATGCTGTCTCTCTACTCCAAAATTGTACATCCCGACTTACCCTACGGTGGTCCGTAACCGGCGGTAAGTTTACTAATACGGAACCAAACTCAGAAACCAGTTCATACAGGCCGTGAGTGACCGGTCTCAAGCAGTTGTCCCCTGGGCTCTGTGGTCACACAACACTAAACCTCTTTCTGTTTCAGGTACCCGAAGATTCAACCAACTTCCACGGTGTTGGCAGCCGGGAAGTAACAACCACCCACACACTTCCAAAAGCACACGAAGCCTCCCCGAGCATCATTTTCCTTTACCGACATCACCATTATCATCTTACTTTCCTACTACAGACAGAACTCAAAGTCGTCGTTTAAGTTAAAAACATCAGCTAATATAGTTGTGTTTGGACATCAGACTAGAGTTTCAGCACAGGTTTGCGATGACCGGAGATTCAGTGATAAGTTTTAATAAACTAAGAATATTACTTTAGGATGAACAAGTGGTAATCACGGAATAATGAGGACAACTGGAGGTAAGTGCATGAGGTGCAATATTAGTAATACGAGGTGGTTAGGACAAAATAAAATCAAATGATGATCTCCTGATATTAATATGCAGTCAGATGTGTGTGGGTGACTTATAACGTGGATGCTAGAACCGTGAAAGTCGGTATCTCCTGGAAGTACCCAAACACTGAACACGTCTACTTTTGTAGATTCGTCTAGGCCATAAGAAATACAAATGATACCCTCCAGATGAGATGTGTTTGGAGGTTGTATTCAGAAAACAACAGATTCCGTAAATATACATAGAGACCTCTCCCGTCTGAAAACCAACAATACAGATTTTAAAGTTCAACATATTCTAACTTCTTCACCAGAGAGAAAGCAGTGTAACTCCTAGGTAAGAATAACTTACTGTCATCAGATGCCTATCCAGCCAAAAATAAATACTTGCTTTTACTCTTCAACGAAGGAACTCTTAATGAGGTGGATGATTTCCATTTATTGTCGGATTTGGTAAGGATAAACAGTGATACCAGACTACAGAACTACTTCAGTTTTTTACAGCTCCCATGAGATGACAGAAAGGAAAGTAATAATTTAGTCTTAACAAAGCTGTAGTAACAGCAGGAAACATACTCAACTGAGAATCCCTTGTGCACTGTTTATTTTACTTCTGCTTGGAAACACACTGCTAGCAATAATTAACGCAAAAGAATGATGGTATCTTGAATAGGACTAGGTTAGAAAAGAGTTGGAGGGGGATGACTAGATCAAAACATGAGATCTATAGGGTAAACTGTAACACAATAATCAGTGGTTAGAGATCCTTGATGAGAAAACTGGTACAGTACATCCAATCCGTATTACGTTCCAGCTTCTGAAAGGCTTAATTACTGTCTCCGTTGCAGCCATGTTTGTCGATTGCAGTAATACATTAGTAATATTCTCCGCTTATTGTTTTTCCTCAGTGTGGTAACTTAAGTGCTTCTGTGCTAAGTTCTACGTCAATCCGTTAACCACTAGGGTACAAATAATAACAAAACGAAGTTATTTTGCTATGAAACCTGCCATGAATATCACAATCTTCAGTATCAGGCATTTTAGATCTCTGGAGTGAAGCTATGTCAGTATTGAAATTACGACATTTTGAGAAAAGCAACACACAGGACTCTCCATTTTGAGCTTTATCACTAGATACTGGAGTCAAAATACTTTTATCAGTACATCTTTTTCCATCTTTTACAAAATCGGAATGAGAGTTCTTATAATGAACAGGATCCAGTGCAACCTCTATTCAACATCATATCCTCTAGACAGTCATCGAAATTAAAACCAGTAAGTTGAGGAGCACATCTAGATTTGTGAAATTTACTAGCCGAGGGAATCAAAGTACTTCGTTTGGTTGGCAGCTCATTACATGGTGATACTGACCCGTATTTGTCATACGGACGAAGACAGATTTTATGAATACATCTTTTTTGAAGACAACAAGATGAGCAGTCTCCACAACCCGCTTTCCTGCACACAGAGCATCTGCAATGATATGTGCGTGAGGAGGTAATCAGTTTTTGCCTTTAGGCACGTCTTCGTGCTATTTGATCGGGACAAATCCCTGCACATCCATGGAAGCAACTATCTGAGGAACTATGAAAGCCACTGTTGTGCTCATCATAGTTGAGAAATTTTGATCTATTTTGTGAATCACAGTCCCTAAACTTGTCAAGAAATTGACCAGACAAACCTTTAAACTTCGAAGGGTGTAATTCTAAACACTTTTCCCTGCATTGAAAACTATGAATCCCAGTCCCTCAGTTATACAAAATAAGTGTCACACACCACGTACGCGCACACTCTCCACAAGGAGATGGAAGTTTCAATGCGGTTAAGTATTTGTCAGTGCCCACATTATGGAATGCTCTTCAATGTACTGATATCTAGAAGTAGTCTAGAGTTAGGCTGTTCTTGTAGATAGGTAGTTCTTTCCATCTGGATCAAGACAAAGGAGCTGTTGTTAGACAACATACCCCGTGACTCTTGTAAACTACTATATTCTACTGGAACATAAGGTGACCAACAGTTCCTTACGTTCTCTTTAGGAAAGTCACTTCCGTAATCCCTACATTTACGTTTAACACTTCCAAGAAACATCCAGTCAGGACTACTGTCATTAGGGCAAGTCAAGTCTTTTAACGTCAAAATAAAACATGCTAATAAGTTTATACACTTCTCAGGGATTAAAGACTGAAACAGTTGCTTAAAAAGTTCACATTATATACCCGATAAAATAACAAAATACCATCAACTAAATATGGCAAAATCGGAATACATAGAGAAACGACAACGAATACCTACCATCATGACTGAACCGTCCAAAATGCCGTGAAGTAATCCCGTCAATCTCACTGGGAACGGTTGGAATACGATGGTCACCCCTACGCATTTTGCTACCCATAGGGACTGAACTTGTTGAATGCTGTGGTAAAAATGATTGTGGGACAGCTTCTGAAAATGGTCTTGGGGAGAAATCCAGTGGGACTTCAAACTGCTCATCATCAAAATCAGTATACGACTGCATATGAGGTGATATATCCACAGGAGTAGACTGAACAGTTTGTTGCTTACGGCGTCTAGCACCGACACTTGGTGAAGAATCTGATGGATCTCTATTAAGAGACGAACTGGCACCAACACATTGTCGTAACCTACATTTCTGACGCATTTTATTTGGCCCACCGAATTTTCGTCTGTCCCGACAGTATTCACATTGTCCACAGTCTTCTTGTAAGCTGCATCCGGCACACTTGCCACAGGGACGCAGACGAGGAGACCCAGATACCTTCTTAGATGGAACTGCTCGAGGAACTACATCATCTTCGTCAAGTGTAGATTGGTCTTCACGTGACCAGTAATCACGATTATAGTGACCAGGAAGAAGTGACTCTGATACAACAGGTGAGTGTGTTGTACTAGATGCGTTTACACTAGACGAACTGGATTTTCGCAAGTCCCTGCCTGACAATTGTGATGGACGCTCTTCTAACGTTTTGCGATCGGTAATTTCTATAGCTATATTAAGATGCTAACATATCACCTACCTGAACTGGAAACTAAGGCATCTGGGGAACCACGTTTGCCCTTAACAAATTTAGTTGGGGAAGGTAGCTCTCCAGAGTTGCCAAAACTATTATTAGGGCTTGAGTTCTGACGGTTTTGTTTCGGACGCTGACTCCTGGTGTTCTTGTACTCAATTTCTAGTGATGGATTTTTACCTATTAAAATTATACACTGAACTTATGAATACTTACATCGACACTGGGGACAGAAGAAAGTTTTTATTTGTTCTGCTTGCTTTGGAGTAACATTAATGCAGTCACCGTGATACCACTCTTCGCATTGGTCACAGGCTCTATAGAAACGACATTAACAGGACTAAGATGACTTACATCATAAACCTTTCAATATCCGATGACCTACAGACACAGTAAACTTCAGTGGTTTGCTCATCAGCATCTTCACTGACTGATTTTTTCTTAGTAGAACTCTTTCGGCGTTTTTGCATGGCTCATCGAGTTATTGTGTGACAATATGACTGACATAAAACGATTTGAGATACGCACTTAGAACAGGATGTCCTTAAGTATCATAATCCAACGCAATATGCATGCATAACGTTATACTATCCACATAAAATCACAAAAACACTAAAAATTCAAGTATTCGCAAAAATTTTGAATTGCGCGCTTGTAATGGTTGGCGCTACAACAGAATGGAAAAACAAAAAATTTTGCAAAATCACTTATATTGTGCAACAACACGCTTTTCTCTTTCAGAAACAAATGGCATGTCATTTTTATTGTAAATACGGGTATTTCGTTCCTTTCTTCTTTCTTTTGCTCTGATTATGGTATGTTCTTTGTTTGCTGCGTGTATTGATTTAGGCAGGTGACGATGTTTCAGGATTTTTCGTACTTCTGGGTGATCTTTGAATTTTTCACGCAGAGATTCGTAAGTCTGCAAGGATGCTTTTTGTCTTGGCTGTATCTAAAGGAAGAGGAGTTTAGACAATAACAAGAAATTTATTACCGGTCCAATTATTTCATTGGCGTGAGCCTTCCACAGACGTACATTCTGGTCCGTTGACGACGAGAGAACAAACTTAGCATCCAATGTGAATCTCACATCAAGTACTCGTTTCATACGCCTCGTATGATAAACATCGAAAGATTCTGTAGAATCACACTGCCACAGTCGGATCTGTAAAGATATAAACTTTTAGAAAATCATGTTTTACCGATGAGTCATAACTTCCAGTTACAAATTCTCTTCCTGTGGGTGAATAATCCACACCAAGTACAGCATTAACATGCCCCCGGTATACTCTGCGCGGGAATTTGAAGTAACGGTTATCAAATGTATAAACATTGTAGTCCTCTGAAGCAGCAGTGAAAATGAACGGCTCCATCGGGTTCCAGGAAAATGAGTTCAATTTAAGTTCCATTTTAACCTAAAAACAGATAAGTGAAAGATTTCAATTCCTTTTCACAAACAACACAACACGTATAACCTTTAAAAACAATTCTATTGATATCTTAGGCTTCAGGAATGACGAAAGCCTGTTAGTATAATACTAAATACTTTTAAATGTAGTAGTAAATGTGTAGTAAAAGAAATTGTGGTAAACTGCAACTAAAATATAATCAGGAGTATTCTGTCTGTCTCCATAATGACTATCTAAATGCTGTACAACCTACTAACCGAAATTTAAATTCCTACATTGACTAAACAACTACATGAATACGGGAAGGTTGTCAGATAAAATGCTGGAAATTAGGTATCCACTAGTATAAAGAGAAGCACAGAAAAATACTACTAGGTCTTCAGTTCAAAACCTAGCAAATCGGTTTCCAACCGATCATAAATAAGTATGATTTGAATCATTGTATGAATGATGTTAACAGTGGAATGCAGGATTTGCATTTCGTCCTATTTATGACTCATCAGATGAATGTGTCTGCACCCACATTAACTGATGGTGCTCCCAATACAGCACCCGTAGTTATACCCATCATAATTATAAATGACGAGATACCATGATATAAAACTTGTGTACAATTCCACCCCATAAATAAATACTCAGTAGTTTTTATAACTTAGATTTGATAGCTAATTAAAGCAGACCCTACAATTGCATAGAAAAATATAACTGTTCAGTACATAAATTTGAAAAATTTCAAGAAAAGAAGAAGAAACTTTGAACACATAAAAGTCGTAGTGTACAACTAGGTATCATTTTTTTATTATAGCTTGACTCCACACCATATTTTTGGTACAAGTATGGAATTTTCCAAATGTGATATCGGTAGCCCATATTTTTCAGGCTGAACATTGATATCAGGTGTTCGTCTGCCGGGGATCGAACCCTGGACCATGTGCATGGTCGGCGAGCGTCCTGTGCCACCGACGCACAATATGCATTGCTCAGTAGATCATCATCGTGAATAGCTTAAGCTTTCTGATTTCAATCCATAATTTTTATAGTGTTCAATGCTTTCCTCAGAAGATTTTAACACTTAGTTGCATACCTTATTTTTTTAAACAAAATAGGTTTCTATCCCACCAAAGGAAAAATTAGATGGGAAAAATAAATTTATTATGCGTTTTTCAAGTTGTCAATCTAGTCTTTAAGAAAAATCCTTTCTTTTGGATTGACTAAGAACATGCGCCTCTTTATGAAGTTACACGTCTACTTTACGAGTCACATAGTTATTTGTCATCAAATTAGGCGGTTATATATAGACAGTATGTTATGACTGCACTAGGTATAAGTGTGTAACAATCCAAGCCGTCACACAGTAGGAAGTAAAGAACAGAACGACAAGAAAAGAGAAAAACACAATGAACACAGGCTGTACGATAAGGAGGGATGATAATGGATGAATGGATTGCCTCGAGAATGATCCACCTGAAACTATATCATCATTCACACTCAATTTATTTCTACACGAAATAGCAGTGAAGACTAGGGACTGCATGGATTAGTGTCACCTCATGATCTGATCATTTCTACTTTTCGACTAAAACTAATTTCAACGTAACTTACATGCATAGGCTAGTATGCGTAGCTGTGACTCCACATCAGTCAACAGGGTGGTTTAAAATCGAATGGATTTCGGGGAATGACCGTCTTGAAAATCAGGATGATAGTCCAATTAATGCTGAAAAAATGTCATCAAGCCTAATGACGAAATATCATCCAAAATCAAGTATTATAACTCAGAAAACACCAAACAACTTCCAGTGATTGTCTTTTTTTAAAGAACTTCACAATTGCCAGTGTTACACACATCATCTTTCATCATCATTTCTTTCATGAAAGATATTTTAAGGTCTTCAAAATCAACCTAGAGAGTATGTTATGTCCATTGAACTTCACTAAAAAGATTTCAGTAATGAAATGTTCCTGCTACAAATTCATATGCTTTCGTCTAACTTTCACCAGAAATTTAGATTTTCTATTGAACAAGAAAAGAATTAATACTTTAGAGTTCTGAATTACATCAAATAGTGTATTCTATACGAGTTGAAGCCTCTGACGACATGATTTCAAACGCTAAAGTGGCAAGCAGTCTTACCATTGCGTGATGCTTCCCAATGTGGCTTGATTTTAATTAGTGTTGAGGTCTGACTGACTGATGAAACAAATAAAGAAAGAATCTGACTTTGAACCAATGTTTCAAATCTTGATCTTCTAAACTAGGTCTAGACAATTAGGTAGTATTAATGCTATTGGTATGACATAGTCTTTAGTACCTGAATGTATAATTGTAGTTTCAAAGACATTGACCAGTAATGTAATAAACATAAAATGCATATACATTCCCGTCTGGCTAATATAGCCGACATATTGCTCATTAGTCTAAACACTTGATTTTCAAACAGTGGGTCCCAGAGTTCGAGTTCCACTTACCAGGCATAACACACAGTAAGTGTGCTTGATAGCCTGGCATATAGAAAGACTATTTCGACGAAGTCAACATCAACTAGGCTGTACATTCGTGTTGTATTTATAATAAATGGGTGGGAAAGTTCCAGAATAATTTCCAGTCAAGGGTCAAATTGATACAATTACAATTACGAATTAAAATACCATGATAAACAGGGAAGGGCGGCGGATAAAACTCAAACAAAGTAGCATCATAATTACTGAGAAGATTGACATATTGTGCAATTGGGGGTTAGAAATATAGAAATAACAAAAACAGATAGGTTGTTTGGGTAAAAAATCTAGTGGAATCATAACTAATGTGACGAATAATTGTTTATGCAGTTAAGGATTAAATATGTAGAAATAATAAAATAACATGAATAAACAGGAAGTTTGGATAAGAAAGACAATGGGATGATCATTACTTAAAGAATTACCTGTTTATGATGGCAATGGCAGGGACATGGGTTGGACGTATTTCTTCTAAATACATTGCGTGGGTTTGAGCTTTTGGATTGCCTCTGCAAATCTCTGAGGAAAACATACTTCGCCGCGAGCCTACGACTGACGTTTTCCCGCAAGAAACTGTTCAGCCAGAACGCGAAAGACAAGCTATCGCATTGGGCCACTTCAACATGCATATACCAGTTTATTTGCTCTTGCGGTCATGGCTATCATAAACAGGTAATTCTTTAAGTAATGACCATCCCATTGCCTTGCTTATCCAAACTTCCTGTTTATTCATGTTATTTTAAGTTGTTCTTAATCCCTATTTACACTACCATATTTTCATATACGCACTTCCTGTCTATTTTGTTATTTTATTATTTCTACATATTTAACCCCTAACTGCATAAACAATTATTCGTCACATTAGTTATGATTCCACTAGATTTTTTACCCAAACAACCTATCTATTTTTGTTATTTCTATATTTCTAACCCCCAATTGCACAATATGTCAATCTTCTCAGTAATTATGACGCTACTTTGTTTGAGTTTTATCCGCCCTCCCTTGTTTATTATGGTATTTTAATTCGTAATTGTAATTGTATTAATTTGACCCTTGACTGGAAATTATTCTGGAACTTTCCCACCCATTTATTATAAATACAACACGAATGTACAGCCTAGTTGATGTTGACTTTGTCGAAAAGAAAATTTTCTTCGCTGCAACTGTCTTTTTAATAATCCCTATGATCCAATATAAATATTATATATATATATGCGTCGGTGGGTCAGCGGTAAGAGGCTTACCAACGACGCATGTGATCCAGAGTTCGACCCTCCACCGGCGCACTCGTTAAACCGGTAGTAATGCTGACAAAGAAGGGAGGTTTGGTGTGAGATTAGCAACCCTATCCCGTAAAAATATCAAGTTTATAAGAGAGTAAATAAATGAATACCTTTCGGATAGGTTGATCTTGTCTGCAGTCAATCATCATTAATGAATTATCCTTAGTTAATGCACAAGCAATATTATGTTCAACTGGATTGAATTTTGCTGCATGCACTGGTTCTTGTCCCCAACTCCATTCACGTAATGGTACATCAAGTTTAATAGATGAATATAACAGACAGGATTCTGCACCACCGATTAAAAATTCATTCGATGAAGGATGATGATCCATACAATGTGGTGGCCATTTCATTAAAACACTACTCAGTGGTTCTTTCCATGCTGTGGCAATATCATCATGATTCATACGCCATTGTTTCAGTTGACCATCTAAGCTGCACTGGGGAAAGGGAAGGAAAAAAAATAAACATAGGGAGAAAATGAATTTTTGAAGAAAAAGAGAGAAAAGAAAATTCAACAAGAAATAGAATAAATGAACTAGTCGAAATATTCGGATAGGCTGACGTTTAGACATCAGTGGCAGACACTACCATCATGGAGTGTGGATTACCTCTATTGAACAAGTTAATGCTATCTAAAGGTAATCGATCGAGAGGTGATTTGGCAACTGCTTCGCTACTACGGGATGCCACCGACAATTATACATCTCATCCAACAGTTGTACGACAATGCTGCATGCCAAGTAATCCACAACGGGAAACTTACGGAATCCTTTGAAGTGAAGACGGGAGTAAGACAAGGCTGCCTACTATCGCCAATGATTTTCCTGACTGCAGTAGATTGGATAATGCGACAGACAGCGGGCAATGAGGAAACAGGCATAAAATGGACCCTAACGAAAAACTTGGAGGATCTGGACTTCGCCGATGATATATGTCTGATTTCCCACAAACTGGAAGATATGCAAGCGAAAAGCAACAAGTTGGCAGAAGAAGCATCAAAGATAGGACTTCAGGTGAACATAGAGAAAACAGAGGTGATGAAGATTCCTGGCCAACACCACCAACAGCAACAACAACAACGACAACAATCAGCATAAATGGGAGGAACCTGAAAGAAACAACCTCTTTTACCTACCTTGGAAGCATCGTTTCAACTACAGACGGAACTGACGAGGATATCAAAGCAAGGATCGGAAAAGCAAGACAAGCTTTCACTACTCTCAAGTCTGTGTGGAGGTCAACAGCACTACTCAGCATCAAAAATAAGATCCGGATTTTCAACTCCAATGTGAAGTCAGTGCTACTATACGGATCAGAGACTTGGCCAGCGCGTCATAAAGAGCATCTCAAACAAACTACAGACCTTCATTAACAGCTGTCTTCGCTCAATACTCAAGATCAGATGGCCGGCCAGAAAAGATCAGCAACGCGGAGGGATCTCTGGGAGCAAACCAATCAGGAACCGATTGTGAAACAAATAGGCAGGAAGAAATGGAGATGGGTTGGCCATACTCTGGGGAAACCATCAAGTGACATCACTAGACAAGCCATCGAGTGGAACCCGAAAGGGAAGCGGCGATTTGGTCATCAGTGCGAGGGTGACATGGAGGAGGAGGTCATGTGAAGAGGAGATAAAAGCATGTGGGCAAACGTGGAGATAGGTGAAAACGTTGGCAGAGAACCGAACGCAATAGAGACGTGCGGCTGAAGCCCTATGTTCCTCTAGGAACTAAAGGAAACAATCATAATAATAATAATAATATGGGGTTATTATCTACCACAATACCTCAATTCTACTCTTATATTAAAGAGAAATGTAATGAAACTACAATAGACGAGGATGTATGTACACACAGACAGACAGACTGACAAAGGTACAAGTGGTGATTAGTGAGGATTTTCGATGTTTGAATAATGACAAATAGTGTAAACACAATACAAAATCATATCAACCATCACTGGATACAATAACTAATCACACTTAAAGTTATTTTTTATATCTCAAGTCAACAACTACGCATAACTTTGTGTAACAAGTCACAAATTGACTAATTGAGTTTCAACATAGAAAACTTTGCTTAGAATTGCAACACTTCCAGTTTGCCACATTCCATGTAGCACACATAGAGAAAATAGGGGGGTAAAAGAGAGATTCAAGGAACTTTTATAGACAGAAATGTGGGGGAGAAAGAAAAAGAATAGTGGTGAGATATATAACCAGTAGCCTCTAACCACTGATTCCTAAGGGCTCGTAATTGCCTCAGCTCAAACCAACTGTAGACGACTTTATGGATTAATGCCAGGTTTCGGTTTGCCCATCGTTAACTCTTTTCCAACCTAATCTTTTGTCAACTAACAGGTTAAATACCGCATATACAAGGTCATTGATACACAGTAGATTAAAACAAGTGTGAATTTAAAAAGAACCCACTTTTTTTAAGAAAATTTATACCCACCAACTTAAAGTTGCCATGACAAAAGAAGTAAAAGGTAGTTTTTCAGAGAATAAATTCAAATTCCACTTCTTTTTAACAAAAAAAAGATGAAGGAATAGGCCGATTTTATGATTAAACTGTAGACTGAACTCAATGAAAACTACACTTTATAAGACGAACTGAGATCAACTTGATTACACATCGGACCCTATCGATTGTAAGTATCATTGCAATAGGTTACCTAAATGTAATCACTAGGATAGGTAAGAAGCCGTTTTAACCAACACAGATTTTTTTTTAATTTGCCAAGTCATGAGCCACTCCTATGGTGTAAGGGCTGGTGATACTAATCACTATGCCAAGGCAGATTGAAGCAGATAAATCGGGACTTGGACCCTATGTCCTATTGGTTGAAAGTTGAGTACTTGAGCTAACGAACCACACCTCTACATTGGGGGGGTTGCATAAGAAGAATAAATGGTGGTGTTAGAAGGCAAGTATTACATCGATTACCTCTGAGGATCTTGTGGAACACTACCCTTTGGAATGAATTTATGTCAGAAAAACAGGAAAAAATAAATTTGTGTAATCTCATTCGAAGTTGAATGAATTTACAAGCATTAATATTTTTAAGTTAATCTTAAACGCTTTATTATCTTGTTGTAGTGTTTATCCCCAACTTTATAGAATTATTCAGATACATGTAACAGGAGTTTAAACCCATACAAACTAGTAGAGAGACAAAAACAGAAATAAACACTCCAAGAAAAAAGAAGCTGGTGAGTGAAGCATGTAATAACACATCCAATTACCATTCGGCCAAGCTCTAAATACACTTTTACTATGCGTCAGTATTGTAGACACGCTGTTGTACAAGATCCCATTGTATAACCTCATTCCAGGGATATTATTCATATTTGATGTAGAGATGTGGTTAGTTACCTACCTTCAACCAAAAGGCATCCGAGTTTGAAAGCCATATTCCACCCTAATTCACCCCCTGGGAAAATAGGTAGGCAGTTAGTTGAGTTGTAGCTCATAGCCTGGTATATTACATAAAAGCCTGTTCCGGGTAAATTAAGTCCTCATAAACAAACATTCACACACACACACACACACAAGATTATCGACAACTAGTTAAAATACTAAGTTACAATAACTAGTATTTCCCATCACCCCCTCCCAAAAAAATCGACCGACAATATTTATGTTAAGATAATAATAATTTGTTTTATTCCAGAAACAGTACTAGTGGTACAGTGTGGAATTTTCAGCACATATCTACAATATTTGCATCTAATTTTATCCAAAGTTTAAAAGGAGTATTTCAAAAAAAATAAATATAAAGACAACAACAACAACAAAAAACACAAAATACAAAAATATTTTTTAAAAATGCGAAAAAATACCAAGAAGTAAAAAGGAAAATAAACAACATGAAATAATATCTCAGTATTGGGTAGTGGAAGCTATGATGTGATTATGCATGGTGACAGTAAAGCTATAGTCATACAAGAAGTTATGAAATGATATTTAAGAATGTTTATCGCCAAGAAGATCAGTTAATTTGATTGAAACAAGCAACACTAAACAATTATAAAATAACATTTCAGGGTTGTTGTTTTGTTTTATGTTGTCAGGTCTAATGCAGTGTTTGTAGTGGTAGTGTGAGTAATCCTGCATAAAACAAAATTTTAAGATGGTAATAATGGCTTTCACAACCAATGATTGTCAGTTAATATTGCCGAACAAACAAACAACAACAACCACAAAAACTAATAATTACATGATGGTGAATGACAGGACAATTTTGTAATACTCATAGTGCTAATATAGTCGGAACCAGTAGATACACAAATGAAGGAAATACAGTAAAGTACAAAAAAGTAAGCCAATGTTGATAATTTAGGTAGCTAAGTATGTTTAAGAAGGAGTTCACTATAGAATGCAAAATAAGAGAGGAATAAAAGAGCCTAAAATTATGTTACTAACAACAAAGCAAGTCATAGGTTTCGCGCTTAACATTGTCTCTGTCGCTTAGAGCACGGGCCAAGTATGGTATCGTTGAGTTCCTGTACTTGGTTGTACGAGCATAGATTATTTTATACTGATTTCTGGTTCTACTTGATGAGATACAAGGCGAGAATTGGGAATAGAGGGGGTGTTGGGGGTCGGAGAGTATGGTTTTAGACCTTTTTCCACATGTATTCAGATGCCTTTCTACTAATGTAGTGACAAGCTGACTGAGTTTTACACCACTAGTCCTACTAACTACCTTCAACATCCTTCTCAGGATGGTATAGTCCTTTTCCAGTAGCCCAGGAAAGACTAACAGGGAGCAGTAAAGTAGAATAGGTAAGATACACGAGTTGACAAATTGTGAAAGCAGAGGTTGGGTGATTCCAGATTGTCTAAGTTTCTTAATGTAGTAGATTAGACAGATGCACTACAGAAACTACAAGAATAATGAACAATCAGAAAGAGATAACAGAACTAAACTGAGACAAATACAAGTAAACTAAAAATCAATCTTTAAACCGGAGACGCTAAGATACTTTATTGTTGTTCTCAAGGGTAAATAGATTTTATACTGATTCAATGACTAACATCTTACGCCACAAGTTGGCATACAAGTTTAGAAAGTGGCATGATACTCTTAGATGAATTTCTTTTTTTTTTTAAAACAAAACAAGAAGTCTAAACCGATATTCTACAATTAAGGTAGAGCCTATTTTTAAGTGAGTCGTTTAAAGCAACCACCGTTTTACTCTAAAGGACGATGTACACATGTCAGGTGAATACTTCTAACATACTTACGTTACATGCTCTGTTTGAAGCTTCCAATATAAAACAATAAAAAAAAATTTAACTTATTGGTCACGGATTCAACCTATGCTTCGCCTAATGAAGTATTAATAGTCTACTGCCTTCATCAGTCATCGAATAATACGTCAATTGAGGTCTTTCATGTATACGAAGTTTTGAGTCACACACACTATCCA